ACTAGTAATAGCTCCAAGCTGCTGTTCATCGTGCCTAAATTTCATTTGTTATATCTGGAATAAAAATTACTCAAATCAGTTGAATGTCATTCTGCATTGTTAACCGGCTATGGTTTTTGATGGTTTTGACTTCTGTACATCATTTCCGTAAGCCCCGAATCACGTTTTTCATTCATTCCCTATTTCACCTATTTTTAGTGATCTACTTTACATCATGTTTTATTCATTTTTAATTTTCGTTTTTATTCAGCACGTTTACAGTCATTTAATATGCTTAGGGGATGATGTATTATCAGTCAGTTTTTTATAGTTGGGGTCATTGTTGAAAAATCAATTTCAAAATTCGATTCTACCCTTAAATAATAAATTTGTACAAATTGTAATTTTGTTTTTTACTAAACGCTTACTATTATGTAAAGCTTTTTCAATACCTAAATTTTCTAATACTGTTAATACAGTGTGTATTATTATTTTCAATATATGTACAGAAATTTCCTATAGAGGCTTATTTTTATTTGATAGACTATTTTTCAAGAGTGGTCCCATTGAAATTTGAAAGAAGTATTCCACCTCTAAAGGTGGAAAATTAGAGAATGATTCCCGTTTATAACTTTTTAGTTGTTCCTCTAGGAAACTCTGGTTTCTGCACATTACTGAGTATCTTTAAATTATTAAATTATATATTTAGTTTTAGTTTTATTTTGACTAAAACAAAAATGCGGTGGCAGTTGTTTTTTATCAATCAGTCCTTGTCTCATCTTTAAATAAATAATTCATTAATTAGGAAGAAGAACAACTCGTTCCCTTATTCATTTTCAATCCTTCACCATCTTTTTCGTTCATGGATTCAATCATTTTCAGAGTTGTGGTCAGGCGATGGAACTTGCATGAAGCAAAACCTTCACATAATTTCAAATTATGAGACGGGGGTGAAACTAGCTACAGGATTGGTTAAATTGTAAAATATTTGCCGCGAACCGTCGTAGATACCTTCTGAGTTGGGCTTCCGCGTCACCGGTGCTTCATGTTGTAGCCATCGCAAGATCCTGAAAGCCTGATCCGCGTGGTTATTGTCAGTATGTTGCCAGTCTATCGCGGTGTGTAGTTGTAAGAGATTTTATTCGCAACTTTTGATTTAATTAACCGAATACTTTTTCTCGTAAGATTGGTTTGTTATACAATACGTACCTAACTAGCCGACATTTACTTTTCCCTCTTTAAGCTTAATAATACTTTTTGTGGTTTATTAATAAAAAAGTTTCGTTTCTAGGCGTCATATCCTGACCGGTTACTAAAACTCTGGAAGCCATCCGTTAAGAAGCACTGGTCTTTCACTCCAGATAATAGCAGGACCTGATGGATGGGCAAAAGTGCCTTTTTCTTTTTCACTTGTAATGCAAGCAGTACGCTGTTGCCATAGGAGGACCGAATGAAAAAGTGCCTGTAGGTAACGATTTTCATTAAAGATATTAGATGTGATGTTGAATTATCTTCCTTCGACATTTGTAACTTATCTTTTAGGAATGTCAACCATTGTGATAGTAGAAATCAATGATAACGTTGTTTTTTTTCAGTTTTCAACAATGAATATTATATTTTAACACTAGTATGAAAAACTTTAATTACAAAAATTTAATTTTTAAGCAAAGGAGACTTATAATTCTCGCTGTAACTCATCCATTGTGTATCCAATTGTAAGTTTTTGGCAAATGTAATTTTACTTTAGGTGCCTTTTCGTTTTATTTTATTTCTTGTGAATTTAATAGCGCAGTAATTCTATTTTTTTTGTGCATTTCCACAGATTGGTCGAAGAATAAAACAATTGTCTGCACTGATATCGTTATTCATGGACTTCGTTTGGTTTTTATTCGTCTTCAGTTAATCTTCGATCACGAGTAAAAGCATTTTCGATTCCACCGAAACAACACTGATCGTGAGCTACGTTTCTTCCTGCTCTGTTGGCTGATTCATCTTTGAAGCATACATTCTCCGCAATTACTTAAGGTGAGAATACATTAAAGTTAATTAAAAACTGCATTCTACCAATATTTTGCCATCATACCTGTTTCAAATCGAAGGTGGAGAAGACAAGGAGTTCTCGCAGTTAAAATAGTTCTTTATCTAGCATGTTCTAACCAACAGGAATTAATTTTTTATAATTCCGCTATATTCATATTTTTTGGTGGGTGTTTTGTTGTGTTTCAAATCGTATTTATATAGGAATATAATATCCTTAATTGATATATGTTTTTTTTCTGTTTCTGCAGATTATCCAACAAATGAGAGAGAATAAAGTTCAACTTGGTAGTGCTCACACAACCATTGTCTATATGGATATCGTCTTTCCTGGACTATATTCCTGATTTTCTGTTTTTATCGTCACCTTACAAGACGAGGAAAAGCAACTGGCCGTTCATTCCAGATAATGGCGGGACCTGATGGATGGGCAAAAGTGCCTTTTTCTCTTTCCACTGGTAGTGCAAGCAGTAATTGTTGCCAAAGAAGGACTTAATGAAAAAGTATCGGTAGGTAACAATTTTCATTAAAGGTAGTAGTTGTGATATTAAATTATCCTAGAAGCCTGAACTCCTTCGACATTTGTAACTTTAAAAATGTGATAGTAGAAATAAATGATATTAGTATTTATTTTCAGTTTTCATAAATGAACATTATAATTTGGCATTAGTATTAAAAACAGAAGAAAACTATTCAATTTTATCCAAAAGAGATGTATATTTCCATTTTTAAATTATAAGCTGGTTTAAATGTGTCTTTCGTAGCGTGTTTTTCTTGTATTTCATATCGTTTTTATATTGGAGTGTAATATCCTTAATTGATATATGTTTTTGTCCGTTTCTGCAGATTATCCAACAAATGAGAAAGAATAAAGTTCAACTTGGTGGTATTCACATGGATATCGTCTTTCCTGGACTATATTCTTGATTTCCTATTTTCATCGTCACCTTGCAACATTATACACGTAATTGTCAACCGACGAGGGAAAGCAACTGGAGATATTCCACTGAAACAACAAATTTTCGGCTATGTGGTAGTCCTCCTGGATTTTGTTTGCTTACAGTCTACAGTTAATTAAGGTGAGAATACTTGATATAATTAATTATAATTAATGGCACTTTATTAATCTGTTACCACCCTATCTGTTTCAGATCGACGATGGAGAAGACAAATAAGATGCGTAGTTAGTTCATTATCTTGCATGCTCTATCTAATAGAATTAATTCTTGAAGTTTATTTTATTCAAATTAATTGTTTATTTTGCATGTTTTCTGTAGTTTATTTTATTTCAATTAATTTTTATTTTGCATGCTTATTTTGTTTTATTTTATTTGAGTTAAATTTTGATTGTAGATGTTTTTATTTTTTTTTGTAGCAGTAGTACCTACTAACATGTTCTTTATTTTTTTTTAGTAGTGTAGTCTAACATGTCTCTTGCTTACCTCTTCGCTTAGCTTACTGCATATTCTTCCTAATTTGCTTCGCATTTACCCTACGTCTTCTACATGATTCAACGTTTCGTTATCGTGTTTCTTTCTTCTCACCCTTGTGGAATTAGGGAGGGCCTCCCCGAACGACTTCCCTTGGGCTTAGCTATTTAGTTGATCTTAAAAGTGTCTTATACACTTTTCGCGAGTCTACTCTAGCGTTACTTCCTTTCAGACGGGGTACAGTGGGTTATCTGGAATAGGAGCAATAGGCGACTGCCCAGCTTGCCTTGGCGAAATCTGTCCGATCTTCTCTACCAAAGCTATTAGTATTTGCCGTTAGTCCTGTTAATTGCACTATTTGCTTTCAGATAATGAGGTATTTCCTGAGAAGAATGAAGACATCGTATTTTTTGCTTTTTATTGTATTTTCTTTGAAATTTTATTTGTTTTTTTGTGTTTCTCTTTCAGGTATTTTGCTTGTTTTCTTGTGTTTCTTTTACAGGTACTTTGTTTTTTAATTTGTAAACTGTTGAATTACCTAATATAATTGTCGCTTAGCCTGATAGGTAAAACTTTTCTAAATTGTTTTTTTGACATAATTGTTAAAGTCAAATTGAATATTTATTAACACTCATAATTAATATTCATTTGGGCGGATAGGGTGGCTATAAGGGGAGATGTGGAGGCCACAGAAGGCTAACTATATTATTTAAATATTAGTAATTCAATCGTTTATAAATTATTTTAAAATTGCAAATAGTTTAAAATGTTCAGAAATTGTCAATGTAATGTATTCTTTTATTAAAAATGTAGTGTATGTGCTTATCTGTTAATACAATTAGATCTAAATACCTACTGATGTAAATTGTCGTTTGTATTATTAAAGCTGTTGATCTATAACAATATCTAGTTTTCTTGAACAAATTATATATTATGTGGATTGCAAGTTATGTGTAATAGAAATAAATTTGTTTTAATTAAACAGCGTTTAATTTACTAAGAAAAAAGAGATCAATTTTTGTTAAGAAATATGTCACAATTGGTACCTTGAAAATTGATATAATTAAGTTCATAAGTCTAAAATTGGTACCGAGGCATATGCAGCCAAAATATAATCTATTTTACATCCTAAAATTTACTTTAATTCTAATATTACCAGCGCCCTCTGACGCTAAGGAGCTAAACTATGTTGAGAAAAAGAGAGAAAGCTACTAAAGTTTATTCCGCGCCCAAAATGTGGACTCCGAAAAAGACCTCATGCGACTTATGCTCTCCTGATACAAATGTACAAATTTATGAAAATTTTCAGTTTCGCGTCCTATACGAGGTCTGATCAACAAATATTTGAACAACCAAGATTAGGATTTTGTTGTTCAACTATTTCTTGATCAGACCTCGTACAGGTCGCGAAACTGAAAATTTTCATAAATTTGAACATTTGTATCAGGAGAGCATAAGTTGCATGAGGTCTTTTTCAAAATCCAAAACATGGTTGTTCAAATATTTGTTGATCAGACCTCATATAGTTCGCGAAACTGAAAATTTTCATAAATTTGAACATTTGTATCAGGAGAGCATAAGTCACATGAGATCTTTTTCAAAATCCAAATCATGGTTGTTCGAATATTTGTTGATCAGACCTCGTATAGGTCGCGAAACTGAAAATTTTCATAAATTTGAACATTTGTATCAGGAGAGCATAAGTCGCATGAGATCTTTTTC